CCCCGTGCTGCTGCTTGTTCTTCTTCTTGTTTGGACGATTAGAGGGCCCTCGTCGGTGTCCTCATCCCGACTCGCTTTGCCTTTGGAGCGATCAAAAATTGCTCTGGCCGCCTCCTCACCTGAGGCGTGGCTGGTCATGATGTCGAGGAACTCCTTGGTGGTCTGAGGGCCCTTACATCCTAGCTTGTGGACCAAGGACTCGCGGTGGTCCTAGACAGGAAGGCTCCGATGACGTCGGCGTCGGCGACATCAGGCAACTCATTGCATTGCCTAGAGAAGCGTTAGATGTACTTGTAGAGAGTCTCTTTGGACTTATATCGGTAATTTTTTAGATCCCAGGGGTTCCCTAGGGCGTGTGTAGGTGCCCTAAAAGTTTTCCACAAAGATCTTCTTCAAGTCCGCCCAACTTTGAATCCGGTTGGGCGGAAGGTGCTCCAGCCATGTTTGCACCGAATCAAGCCAGGAACAAGGGGAGGTTGCGGTTAATGAAGTAATCACTATTTGTGCCGCCGGCTTGACAAGCAAGCCGGTAGTCCTCGAGCCACAAGCCGGGGTTCGTCTCCCCATAGTACTTTGGGACGTTGGTCGGCGGTCGATACCGCGGCGGGAAAGCCGCGTTGAGGATGTGCTGGCCAAAAGCCTGGGCCCCGGCAGGTCGGGGCTAGGGCTCCGGTTTTCACCATTGTCGTAGCGTCCGCCGCGATGAGGATGGTAGCCGCAGCTGGCCTCCTCTCTCGTCACACCTTCCACGCCTACGGGCATCTAGGGTGTTGCGTGCGTCATGGTTGGGGCCGAGACGCTCATGCACCGGGACCATGGCAAGTCCCCCGTTGTTGCGTGGCGCCTGGTGGATGGACACGTCCCAGCCATGTCGTCCCGAAGACATGCGCTGACTGGCATCAAGCTCGTCGCCAAGACAACGAGCTTTCTGCCTGTTGAACCGCTGCTCGCTCGAGCAGCGTGCGGATCTCGTGGTTGGCCTGATGGTCTTTGGGTGTCGTGGGCTCCATGAGCCTTAGAGTAGGACTACTGCGGCAGCTATGTTCTAACTTGCCCGGGCAAAGTGCGGGAGGCCTTCGTCGTCCTCGACGATCCTCCGTTTACGTCGTGGGCGATGGCGCGTGCGTGGCCACCATCCCCACGACGCTTGATCTCACGTTCGAGCTCTGCGGGCTCCTGCTCTAGCTGGAGGCGCGCATCCTCGAGCTCCTGATGCCGCGCCCTTAGTTGTTCCACCTGCATGCGGGGAAGGGCCCTCCGCATCTTCTTCAACTTCGTTGTTGAAGTCGTTCGATGGGGTAGCCCCTTCCTCGTGGATGCTTTCGACGCGTCCTTCGGGGGTACTTGCCATTAAACATTCTCGCGAGGGGTGATGGCCCCCCCTACTGGAGTCAGAGTCGAAGATCGACTCTAAATCTCCCACGAGAAGGTCATGGAAAGACTTCGCGACGTAATCGGTCATTCCCATGAATTCGTCATCCGTGGGAGGTGGGCACATGCGTTGTACCACGACGTGACCAACGGTCCTCGCGGCATTGTGTAGACCAAACAGGAATGCTATCGGGGTGTCCTAGGTGAGATATTTCAAGGAAAGCAGCTCCCCTCTGGCAAGCTGCATCATGACGTTGGCAAAGGAGAAGGTGAGGCAGCGCACATCATCCTAGGACGGTCGAGGTCCCAGGAAGGCGTCGAGCTGACGCTCCTAGCCTCCCATAATCGAAGCCGAGGAGCTGGTCGCTCCCGGGGACACGGGCCTCCGGTGTGCAGCAGTGCAACTCCTCGAAGGCTTCGACAGTTGCGTCGAGGTCAGTGGAGCGAGGATGTTGGACGGGGGCAGGAGCCCGCGCCAGCTCTCCCTCCGTGGTGATGATGAAGTCCAGGCTCCCGAAGCGCATGTGCGCGCCCGAGACCTAGCTAATGCCATGGCTAGCCATCCGTAGCCTGTTGTGGACGACGAGACGCGCAAAAGGCCCCTACCTATCGCGCCAACTGTCGGTGTTTCGAATCACCGGCTAGTAAATTTCTAGTTTGCGTGTCTAACCCAGATGGCTATGCTCGGAGGACACAATGATTTATACTGGTTCTGGCGGAACATCCCTACGTCCAGTCTGCTGCTGCTCGTGTTACCAGCACTTGGTTTGTAGTATGGGTTACAAACAGGAGAGAAATGGAGAAGGTCCTAAGTCTCTGGAGAAAAGAGTGAGTCTGGTTGAGCTCTCTATCTACCGTCGAGTGCCTAAGCCTTCAGCCGCTCAGACATGTTAGATGTCTCTGAATGCTCGCCCCCACCCGTGGGATGCCCTGCTTCCCCTTTTATAGATGAACGGGAAGATGCAGGTTACATCGGAGAGAGAGATGAGGAGAGGAAGGCTTCCGGGATCACAACGTCTTCCATCTCCTTTACACGGGTCCCGCCGGCCTTGTAGATGACGACGGGGATGGCTCCACGTCGCGGCCCTATTCGTCACTGGCACCGTATCGGGCGTCATTAGCCGGTCGTGGCGCTTCATCCGTCCCAATTGGACGGTATGGCTCGCTGACGCCTCCGCTGGAGGCCGTACGGGAAGTAGGTAGCACAGCACCAACACGCCCGATGCTGCTGGCGACGTGTGTCCTCAGACAAGGCCCGTCGTGGCCGCGGGTCGCGTCAAGACGCGCCTGCTCACCTTCTAGCGTTAGAAGTTTGCCTCTGGACTCATACTTTTAGACCCGTAGTGGTTGGGGGCGGTACGGACCTCCGTTGGGTGAGGGGGAGCCCGTGCCCTCGGGGTCGGGCGAGGCGAAGTCTGTGCCCTCGGGGTCGGGCGAGGCGGAGCCCGCGTCCTCGGGGTCAGACGTGATGGGGCTCTCGCCCGAGCGGTTGTTCGTGATGGGGCTCTCGCCCGAGGGGTCGAGCGAGACGGAGCCCGCGCCCTTGGGGTCGGGTGACCGGATCCCGTATCGTTGAGGTCGGACGAGACGGAGCCCGTGCCCTCGGGGCCGGGCGAGTCCAAGATACGCTCTTGACCATCCGAGGGTGTTAGCGTTCGCGACCATTAGCTTTCTTCTTCCGGGTATCCCTGATACTGATAACCGACACAAGTATTTTTTTTATCTAATGATCCATTTTCGACTATATGTCCTCCTAATTGTAGGATATTCAGCCTCCTCACTATAGCCAACAAAGCACCTCTGTCATGCACAAATTTCTGAGCGGGGTATGAAAATAGGCCAGCCTTGCCATGACCTTTTCCTTGATACCTAATAAATTTGGCAATTTAATGCTTTTTTGTCAGGCTGCCAGTAGCCAACAAGATCGAGCTGGACTACCATCTCCAGAATTGCCAGAATGTGTTTTCATTGCTACACTTAGGAGAGATGGTTTGCAGCCTCCTTTGACTACAGCAACAAGGGAGGGAAGAGCAACAATGAGGACGAAGAAGGCAGCACCAAAAAAGAAAAATGTCAAGAAGTATCACCATGCAGATTCCCAGTTCTTGCAATATATATAGCTGGACAAGTATCACCTGCAGACATCATCATTCTCACCCAGGTACAAACTAGCCCCTCTCCCCTCCCCTTGTTCACAACCCCCATAGACCATGGAAGATGCATGGCTTGAGCATCTACATGGTTCTTGAGAGTTAAAGCTGCATGAGGATGGATAGTGGAAACTGAGCTCCTCAAGAAGCATTCAGCTTCATGGTGCCTTTCCTGACCTCCCTGGTGGTCGGCTGAGGTACGCACATACCGGCAAGTCACAATACGGCAATGGCGGATTCCATTAGGAGTCCTCCCTTTTTTTCTCTTTTACCGCCTAGTTGTGTCAGGCGGAAGACAAATAACCTAAGTATTCATGTGTGATGATCTGTGTATACATTGATGAGACAATGTTTGTCTCATGTGTACTCCAGAAACATTCTACTATAAATAAATTGCTGCTTGTTATATCATTTGCTTGCCTTTGCCCCCGCGACTGTCTACAGATTATTTTCTCATGCTAGGGGCTGAAAATGAGCATGTATTGTTGATGGTGTATTTGTATTGCTGTTATTATGTTGTTTCAAATTATTTTAACACTTGCTGTTGTTGCTTGTAAATTGTAAGTCATAGTTGAGCTGTACATCACTACAAGGGAGAATATTTTTGGTTGATTGTATATCAGTACAAGGGAGAATATTTTTGGTTGATATAAAGAAAACTGTTATCTGAAATATGATGATGATAAGAAGAAATGGAAAGAGGAGCGAGAAAAGGAGACACTTCCCTTTGGCCTGTCTTAGAGAGTAGGACATATCTTGTGCATGTTGGCAAGCAACAAAGTATTTCTGGACTGGTAGAAATGACCTATCATACCTGTATTTTAATTTTTTATTGCCTTCTGAAAGTAGGAACCTTAGACCTTGCCCTTAGGGCTTTGTTATACTGTATTTTTTTTTGGCACTCAGGTTACAAAAGGTATGCCAATAATTCTTCTTTGACGTATTGATCTTCTAAAAATTTGAAACGATCCTTATCAAAAAAAAAAAAAACAAATTGAAACGATGTACTGCTCTGCTATGTTTCGGTTTTATCTGAATTGACAATGTTCTTCATCCCTTCTGAAACCAGCTGCTCTAGTCAAATAACTGGAAGAGCTTGCCGTAAAAAAATAGCTGGAAAACCTTATATTCTGCTAATTAAATTCATGCAAAGAATCTATTTGAAGATAATCCTGCGGTATGAGTTCCCAACGTCCAGTATCCATTTGACATGTTACATCTGTTATTGAGTCCCCAAAAAAAAAATCTGCTATTGAGGTCTCATATGTACATCAGTACATGAACTACAGGGGAACAAAATCTAAAAGGTTATCCTTGTGCTAATTATTTTGTGCTAGGAATGGGCCTACAGGAAACACTGGATTTGCAATTATATCCAATTATAACTACAGACCAGAGCTTCATGAATAATCTGTAATAGATGTCTCTGCTTTGGCATATGAATAGATGATCCGTAATGTTTTGTTTGTAACCATCCTCTCACAATTTCCAGGAGCCTTTGCCTGCCTGAAGCAGCGAAGCATACAGCAGTTCATTCCACGTATCTGGCACGCCAGGCAAACACCAGTGACTACAGTCCTGCCTTTTCACCATTGCCATCCGTTCCTCCTCTGTATCATAACGTATCCGGTAGACTGATGGATGGCCATCTTTTCGGTAATCGATGAGTGTGCTGATGTTGAGGTATATGACGGGAGTTTTCATCTGCCTCAATACCTGCTCCAGGATTACCATCTTCTCAGGGTATTCAGTAAGATATGTCTGGTTGAATATCGGCTCCGTCTCCCTGTGGCATCTCCCTCCTGAATTCCACTGCCCTCCTCTGTTGCAAAATTTATCATTGTCAGGTGAAGAAAATATGGTACCAACAATCACCCAGCGTAGTGGCGATGTCTTACCTGAAATATGAGAGTGAATATCCTCTGAATACAACCTGAGTCCTTCTCGGATCTATGGTCTTGTCCACCCATCTAGCCCAGGTGACTAGAGCTCTCTTGTATGCATCCAAAACCTCAAGGCTGGGATACACATGGTTGCCCTCTTGGTAATAGTTCAGCCTGTGGACTAGCAAGTACTTCAGCAATGTTTGAATTATGGAAAGCAATTGATGATACTCGGTCCAGAAAGTACAATGTACCCTCTTGATGTTTTGTAGTGAGTCCACCAGTGACCGGTGTTGAAGACGACGATGTCTGCGGTCCGGTATGCTGGAGTCGTTGCATATAGCTCATTCAGTTTCAGCTTTGCATCTTCAGTACCGTTTCTGCCTTCGCAGATCATCTGCTTGACGAGGAATATTGATCTGATGAAATCAACCGAGCAATTGTACTCTTGCAATGAAGTAACAACACTGAGAAGAACAAAATTGATGAAATTCAAGAGTTCTCATCTCATGTAGTGGGCAAACGTCTGTACCCTGAATTTGAAGGAGTAGTATCCTCTGGTCTTGAACTGGTTCTTCCCCGATGCCTCGTACACGTTCCTCTTGTCCCTGACGCCGTGGCGAAGGATGCAGACCAGCGACTCCCACATGTTCCGGTTCAGCGAGTCGCCGACGAATATGATCCTCTGCCCTCTCAGCCTCTCCTGGAACTCAGCCGCGTTCAGCCTGGAGCGAGGTGAGCCTCGTCGTAAGATTGTGAGGATATCGCATCAAGTTCAGTTTCAGAAATGTCACAGGAGAGTACCTGGGAATGTCACAGCCGTGCGGCTGCCACCGCCACCTGAGGAAGTCACTGCCCGGCCGGCCGTTCTTGTGGCAGTTGAAGTCGTCGTCGATGAGTGCGCACGACTTGGGCGGGTAGAACCCGTAGTTCTCGTCCCTCACCCACCTCCCGCTGAACACGTCGCACTTGGCGAAGGAAACCAGGTCTTGCACGCCGGACGTCCATACGACACGGTTGTTGCCGGCCCCGACCACGCCCTTGCTGGCGTTCACGCCTGCGGCCAGGTCGTTCCCTGGCCCGATGGCCATGCTGATGTTCACGCCAACCACGTCATTGCCTGGCCCGACGGCGAAGCTGGTTTTGACGCCAGCCATCTCCTCGTGGCTCCGCTCGGCAGCGACAGCGAGATCTTGCGCCGAGAGCACGATCTCCTTCCGTCGCCTCGGGTGCCTGCGCCTCACGGCTCTCCTGCGCCTGTGCCTTTCCACCTTCCGCTCCGAGTCCGGTCGTGATGGCAGAGCCGCTCGCTGTGCCAGGCTCCAGACGTAGCCATCGGCGGCGTTCTTGGCTGTTTCTTCTCTGCTCGATGTCCCTGTGTATCTGGAGTTGCCGCCGATGGCGACGTCGTCAGTGCTCGTCGCTTGCTGATCGGCAGCAGCACCGACGACGACGGCGTCGTGGGAAGGACGACTGGCTCCGTCTGTCCTTCGCCACTGCAGCATCGCCGTCGCGGTTTCCACTTGCGGTTCATCTTCTCTGGTGCGGTTACTGTTACTGCTGGGTTCGGCGTCGGAACCCACTGTGGTGTTCCCGGCGTCCGGCAGGGGCGACACCACGGTGGCGTTGCGGTTGCGCGCGTCGGTCGCGGCAGGAGGAACGGGAGGAGGGTGGGTAGGAAGCGATTTCTTCGTCGATGTCGACGATGAGTTTGACGACAGCCACGGCAAGAGAAGCAGCGAGGAGGAGGAAGCGGCGGCCGGGGAAGGGAAGGAGCCGTCGTCGGCGGGCCTGCTGGTGACCGAGGCGTAGAAGAAGGCGAGCGCGAGCGCGACGGCGAAGCAGGCCGCCACCGCCTTGCCGCTCACGTGGCCGTTCCCGTACTTACCGCCCCGCTTGTAGTTGGCGAGGAAGGACGGGAAGTGGAGGAAGCCCTGAAGGTGCGCCTGCAGTGAGCCGGTGCCGCCGCCGGCGGCGGCAGCCCGGTCCAGCACCGACAGCCACGCCTTTCTCCACCCGGCCATTTGCTTACTACAAGGCGCGCAGCAGTGCAGCCGCTCACAGCACTGAAGAAGAGATGGATTGCGGCGGTACGAACGAGACGAGCAGTCTGTCCAAGTCCAAGCAACCGCTTGTAACTAACAGAAGAAGCGATCAACTGATCTGAGCCCGGATGGATCGGGTGTCCACTCCAGAGCATGGCGGCGTCCAGTCCAGGTGTCGAGTAGGACCAGGACGCCGGTGGGAGCTTGAAGGGACATACGAGGTGCAGTTGCGGTCAAGGACGCGCGGATCCGGATCCAGGCCTGTTCGGCGCATGCAGAGGGCGGTTTGCGATCGCAAGTATGAAATGCCTTGCAAAGTACTCCTTGTCCAACAAAAACATGCAACTGCGGGTTGCGTGTCGATAAAAATAGTTTATGTTTGATCAAATTTCTAATGAATATTATTCATATTTATGACTCTAAATTAATTTATTAAAAAAATATATTTTATAATTAATTGAATAATATTTATTTGATATCATAAATATTGATATTTTTATTTGTAATTAATCAAACTTGAGATACTAAATCATGATACTATGCTAGAATTGTATGTTTTTCTGGACGGAGGGAGTACTATCATGTGTCAATTGTCACCTGTGCCAAAAAAAACAAGTACTGTTGCTCCACCTCGTCTATATATGAGTATATGACCGTAATGTTTGCATAGCTTTTCACGTGAATTTGGTGTTTTCAACTCAATCCGGAAATTTGACGACTGCTCGAAGAAAACTTCACGAGTCAGTTTGATGATCTAGAATTCCGAGCCAACATTTTTTGAACTGATAAAAAGAGCATGCCCAACTTATCTCGGCACTTCGAACTTAAGAACATAGAGTAACCTCAACTTTGATTCAGACTATTTAAATGCAAGCTGAAAAAACTCATAGCTTTAAAATGTTCGTTTTTTGAAAACCCAATTCTAATAGACCACTAGAGATGCGCCTACAACTCAATGGCAACGAGAGCACCAGCACTGTCAAATATCTTTGCTCCAGCAGACTTCCACATGAGAGGTTCATCATGTATTTGAGAGAGGATGTATTCTGTCGCCTTCTCTCTTTTCTGAAAAATTCTCTAATTCTGTTGCTTCCAAACGGTCCAGATGGTTAGGATAGCGGATAATGTGCTATCTCTTTTTACAGATTTGATGTTTCAGTCCAGTTATCAGGGTGCAGATTGGGACAGTCGCTCCAGATACTGACCCTTCTCCAAAAACTTCTTGAGTAGGGGCACTCAGCTACAAGATGCAAACTGGTTTCTAGATTTCTGTAGTACAAGGGGCGGAAGTAGTTATTTGGCCATTCTCAGCCGTGCATAGACGGTTTTGTATGAGTAGCCTGAGATAGAATTTGCATTTTGCTGGATCCCAACTGCTCCACACGAGTTCTGACTTCTGAGAGAGCAGAGTGATGCTGGGCACGGCAAAAACAAAGTGTTGCTCCCCTCGCCTATATGACCGTAATGTTGCATAGCTTTTCACGTGAATTTGATATTTTCAACTCGAATAACACAGTCTGGAAATATGGCGACTAGTCGAAGAAACTTCACGAGTGACGGAGTGAGTTTGATGATCTAGAATTCCAAGCCATCTTTTTTAACTGATAAAAGAGCACGTCCAACTTATTTCGCCACTTCGAAATTAAAAATAGAGGGTGGTAACCTCAACTTTGATTCAGACTATTTAAATGCAAGCTGAAGAAAAACTCATAGCTTTAAAATGTTCGTTTTTTAAACTAAATGTTTAAAAATTGTTTTCAGTGAAAGATCATTATTTTGAAAGCCATCTACGCGATCTCGGCCATTGGTAAAGGCCCACTAATTGAAACCGATGTAAATTTTCGGCCCTTAAGCCCAATCTCGCATCAAGCTGCCGCATCTCCTCACCAGAAGGCAGAAGCCCAAATCTATCTCTAGGGTTCTCCTAAAAAAAAAAAACCCGCATTACCTCTCAATTTTCGCGAAAGTCTGTTTTTCCTCCCTGAACTCCAAAATCGGGCAAAACACCTCCCTTAACTTTTAAAACCGTTCATATTATCTCCTTGACCCGGTTATAAGCGGTTTTAAAGGCGGTTTCGCCTTTTTTCTTTTTTTATTTATTTTGTCTGAATCTTTGAAAAATCATAGTAAATCACAGAAAAATCGTAAAATAGAAAATCTAATTTTGTTGGACTCCACATGAATAGATCTACACAGTGAACATATAATATAGTATACTTTAGCACAAAATTTTTGTTGTAGTTTTAGATCTATACTTTTCTGTAATTAAATAAAATAATTCATAGCTGTAGTTTCTATGGTTCAATTATGGTGAAATTTTTATGGTGGGCTAATTGTTATATACTTAAATTGTAGTAAAAATTTCATACTCATTGGATCATCTATAACTTAGTTATAGATTTTATTTAGGTTTATGCTTGTTAAATTAAATATAAATAAATCTATAACTAAGCTATACATGATCCAATGAGTAAAAAATTTTACTATAGTTCAATCATACAATAATTATCCCACCATAAAAATTTTATCACAATTGGACCATAGAAATTACAGCTATGAATTATTCCAATTAATTACAGAAAATCATAGATCTAAAGTCATAGCAAAAACTTTGTACTAAAGCATATCATATTATATATTTACTGTGTAGATCTACTCATGTGGAGTCCAACAAAATTAGATTTTCTATTTTATGATTTTTTTCTATGATTTATTATGATTTTTAAAGATTCAGCCGAAATAAGTAAAAATAAAGACAAAATTGCCTTCAAAACTGCTTATAATAGGGTCAGAGAGGTAATATTAATGGTTTTAAAAGTTGAAGGATGTGTTTTGCTCGGTTTTGAAGTTTAGAGAGAAAAAGCGGACTTTCGCGAAAATTAATAGAGATAAGAGGGACTTTTACTATAAAAAAAATCTATCTCTAGGGTTCCGACCATTCTTCTATATAAAGTCTTGGCCCATCTAACAGCTTTCCATTGACCCGCCGCCTCTAGCCGTCCACGCCCCTTCCCGTCTCCGGAAGCTTCTTCCTCCTCCCCTCCGACCTCCGTCATGGCCGGCGGCAACCTGTTCGGCCGGGTGCTGAGCTACGTTGTCAACGAGTTCCTCGTGGAGGGCCTCGCCAACAAGTAAGCACACCTCCTTTCAGCCCTCCCCTTTTCGTACCCTATCCCTAGATCCGTTTACCCGCGCCTCGCGGCCTCGAGCGAATACGACATCGATATTTGTTTGATTATATTTGTTGCGCTTCGTCATCTGGTCGTTGGGAGGATTGTTTTTCCGATCGGTTCCCAATGGATTCGTTCCCTTGAAGCTACAGAATCCCGTTGTATCTTGGGCCGGCTCTATCGTTTGCCTTCGGATATTCCCCATGAACAGAGGCACCGCACGGCTCTTACATACATGGTTTTGTTAGAAAAGTTTTGTCTTTCATGGATTGCTTTCGAGTTGTGTCCACCACGGTGATGAGCCCTAACACATCTGTAATGATTCTTGGGGTCATGATGGCTTGATACGAAAAAACAACTAAGCGACTGAGTCGCAGTTTTGTTACTGAACAGCTTATTCATTCATTTGCCTTTAGTTTATCAACTGTAATAGAATGAAGTTTGGGCCTGATGCCACAGGTGGCCACAAGCATTGACTGATGATCTGGTTGAAACGTTTATCAACTGTAATAGAATGAAGTTTGGGCCTGATGCCACAGGTGGCCACAAGCATTGACTGATGATCTGGTTGAAACGTTGTTTTTTTTCAGCTTTTCACATGTTAGGAACTTGGGGACTGCTTCTCTATGTTCAGAGAGCTGTTTATATTTGAAATGATGTTTGTGATAACATTGATGAGTCCTTGCACAGTTACAGACCTATGATGATTGTTGCGGTAACGATCGCATCATTCAAAGAACATCTAAGGGTCTGAGTTGTCATGATTTCATCGTTCCAGATTTTTTTTTTCTGATAGGTTTTCTGGCCTGTGTTGTGACATTCTCTTGTTTCTAATGCTTAGGTTTGAAGTGATGTGTCTTTGGTAACAGTGATGAGTCCTTGCACAGTTACAGACCTGTGATGATTCTTGCGGAAATGATCGCATGATTCAAAGAACATCTAAGGGACTGAGTTGTCAATTGTCATGAACCTTATGCTCTAAATTTTTGTATGATAGGTTTATTTGCTGGTACCACTTTTGGTTCAGTTTCCATAGTATGGTTTTAGTTTGTGCCGCTTCTCTTGGTTCATGCCCATGAGCTGTTTTTGGTTCATGAGCTTTGGAAAGGTGAAGCAAAAGTCTCAGTGGTTCCTCTCGCTATCCAGCTCAGATTTTTGTTTGATGCTGCTGGACGTCGAGGAACTATATTCAATTAGCTTATATATCCATAGTAAGGCTTTGTTGTTGTTGTTGTTGTTGTGCTAGTCTAGTTTTTGGGTTGGAGCTTGCTTTGGTGAAGTGATTGTTTGGTTACTGATTGTCGCATGATATTTTGCAGCCGTGCATTCCAGAGGTTTGCTGTGAAGACCAACAGGACTCTTGAGAACCTATCGTCTAAAGGTAGGGTTCTGATCAAATTGCTGCAAATTCTACCATTTGTGTTTTACTGAGACATAAGTACTGCTGAACATCAATAGAGTATTTGCGTACCTATTTTATTACTATGCTAGTGTTGGCTGCTTGTGTCAGTTGTGTAATATTCATCTAATCTAATGACGATCGACGAAGTGAGGGAGGAGTTATCGGAGCAATTGAAGGAAGCTCGTGGCGAGAAAGATGTAAGTTATAGAAATAATTTTGCATTGTTGCTTATTCTTTTGTAGCATACTTCCATTACTTTTTGGTTGGTTGGTAGTTTCCAGTGCTATATATGATATCTGATCAGAGTTCTGTTTGCAGCACTTCAAGCAGTGAAGCTCGTTCACACATCGATTCAACAAGATGATACTGACAATCTTGCAACTTATTTTTCTAGTCCTCGTCTCGGTCCCTATTTATGAATTGGCATTTTGAAGGAATTTTTGGATGTCATTCAATTGATGGAACCGTTGTATAGTCTTCAGTTTCTCTGCACTTAGTAGACGCGGAGCACTTGATCTCCTGTCCCATGTATAATGTATTTTTCCCCGCCCTTTTTTTTTGTTAAAGTGTGAAATGTAGAACTGAACAACAATTGGTAGAACTATCTTAATGCGTGCGTTGATCTCTTGAATACATGCAAGTGAAGTGCATCCAACATTGCGTGCGTTCTATTGATATATATGCAAGTGAAGTACATTCAACAGGCATCCTTTCAGCAGGCAACTGTTGGTAATTAGTAATTACTCAATTGACATGTCCCATCGGTGCCATAGGACATACTCAATGGACCCATCGTTATCAGCATTAGGAGAAAATGATATATAGCATATATTGGTCTTATTGTCTTATAATCTGTACTTTTTAGCTTGTTTTTTTAGCCGGATCGAACGGGGCCATTGTTATTGTCTCGTTATAAGTTCAAATGAGCAAACTTGATGAGGAAAATTTCATAAATAAGTTTAGAGAGAAAATAGTATGAACCAGAAATCGTAGTGACCTCTCCTAAAATCTAATGGAGGAAATATAGCACATGTTCGTTTTGGTTTGTCTGGCTTATAAGCCATGACTGAAAGTACTGTTGGCTGGTTTGGTGTGAGATAAAAATATTGTTTGTTAACTAATAAGTCATGACTTATAAATTAAATACAACCAAACGAACAGGCTGATAGGCGGTTGGCACTCGATCCATCCATCACAGAATCCTCAAAACGTTTTATATTTTCCCTAGATAATTTTAATTATGTTTTAGATATATAATTTAAATTATGTATAACAAAATGACTAGAAAAGCTAAAACTACTCATAATTGAAATACTTGTTTAGATTACATAACAAAAAATGACTGAAAAGCTATTTGAAAATTATCTACTCATTCGCCTCGTAAATTTATAATCAAATCAGTATAATTAGTTATTTTTTATCTACATTTTTGAAATGAAGAGGTAAAATCTTATCATCTAAACAAGACCTGGGATCTTTCCCCAACGGGCTGTGAGTGCTAAAAAAAAATCCAAAACAACTGCTCGTCGAGCCGTCGGAACTCAGAAGAAGGTGACCTCGAGCCGAACTGCAGTCGCTCCCGCACCAGGTTTTAGCAGGCAACGGTCGGTAACGCGACGCTCGACGCCTGCCTGAACTGTAGGGTCGGGCACGTTTTTTCCTTTCCGGTTCCGGCTCAACCAGCGCTGCCAATCGCCACGCCACGCCCACGCTCCTCTCGCCCGCGCGGGCCCCCGCCTGGCCTCCTCGCCCCCCTCCCCTTCGCCGGCGCGCAGATGCGCGTGTGCTCCTTCACGCACTCGGCACGTGGGATGCGCAATCTGCTGTTGCCCCGCCGCCTCCTCTCCGCTCCCACCATGGCTCGCGCTTCCATCTCCGGTTCTGCGGCGGCGGCCAAAGCACTGGTGCCCTTAAACCCCACCCACGGCGGCCGCCTCCCTTCCCTGCTTCCAGCGCGCCTCCCTGTCCCCCAGAGCGGCCGCGTGCTCCGCGGCGCCTCGCTCCGCTGCTACTACGCCGCCGCCGCCGCCGCCGTGACTGAGCAGAGCCGCATCAGGGTGCAGAACCCCATCGTCGAGATGGACGGTACGTCGGCCTCCCGGCCCTCTTCCCTTTCGTTTGCGTAGGCGTGTAGATGAGCTTATGGATTGTTTTGTTTCCAGGGGATGAGATGACGCGGGTGATCTGGAAGATGATTAAGGACAAGGTATGTGGAACTCCTATATTGTTTTGTGCTGTTCTCGATCGATAGTAACCTATAATTTGATCAATTGATGGTTCGCTGATGTGTAGCTCATCTTCCCGTACCTGGAGCTGGATGTGAAGTACTATGATCTTGGAATTCTCAATCGCGATGCCACCAATGATGAGGTCACTGTCGAGAGTGCCGAGGCTACATTGAAGTAAGTGTTAATTCTGTTTTATCCCCTCGGGGTCCCGATTAGGCTGATGTTAAGCCAATTATTGTTCTTGTCGGTAACTTTGTCGCCAAAGCATCTAGGAACAAGGTTCGAGGGCTTTTCATGGGGCATAATCATCTAATTGACTTGACAACCGTTATTACTTACTTCTTCATTCATATTGCTTAATCATGAATAATTGTTCAGAGCATGTAAATACTGTGCACGCATGGCAATTACCCTCACTTATTAGAAGGTTATAAGCACTAGCACTAAGGTGTTGGGTTTAAAGTTCCTGGATTCCTTTTTCCTGAAAGGTTTCCATGAAGAGTCTATCAAATATCTACAGTGGTGTGCATTTTCTCAATCGCAGGATAAGTCCTTGCTTTTTGGCAATACTAAAGAGACTTAAATGTTTGCAGTTCCCAGTTTATTCTGTAATAACATAGGATTTCTGTAGCTGTACTCATTTCTAGTAATACATTCTGGTGTAATGGTGCTATCCAGCACCCAATCACTAGAAATTTTGGTTGGCTCTCTAAATATTAAACTATCCGCTCTTCTACTATTGTTCTGGTGATCATGATTTACAATCTTAGTGTCCTGAGGTTAATTATTAATTATAGTTCGTCTCAGAATCATGATGCACCTTCTGTGAACTTCATTTGCTTTGAAGTACCACGACACAATTTTATGTGTAAAATCATTTTGTACATTTTTTCGCATTGATAAAATCCCGTTTTGTGCCTCAACAGGTATAATGTTGCTGTTAAGTGTGCAACAATTACGCCTGGTAAGTCCCTTCAACTTTGGTTTCCCATATTTGATTATGTTATATATTTGGGAATTAAGGTGCATTTATTTATATGCAGATGAGACTAGAGTAAAAGAGTTTAAACTCAAGTCTATGTGGCGGAGTCCAAATGGCACAATAAGGAATATTCTAAATGGTTCACTCTCTGCTCTTTCTTATTTCTTGAAATATAAGGTTTAACATACTGGAAAATTATATGAATTGTCCTAGATCTTTGATAGCTAAATTTTAGCATCCATCCCATGGCAGGGACTGTTTTTCGTGAGCCCATCTTGTGTAAAAACATCCCAAGAATTCTTTCTGGTAAGTAAATTGTACAGTATAGTATGCTCAATGCAACAAATAATAAAGTTGCCAGATTAATGAAATTTCATTTTTTAGGTTGGAAGAAACCTATTTGCATAGGAAGGCACGCTTTTGGTGACCAGTATCGAGCTACTGATATGATTATTAATGGTCCAGGAAAGCTCAAGATGGTATTTGGTGAGCTCCAGTTGACAACTATGTCTTGTCCTGTTAAAGGTCTGCTATGGTAATTTTCTAATATGTTCTTTGTTGCTACTAAAAAAATCAGTGCCTGATGGAGCTGACCCCATGGAGCTGGATGTTTATGATTTTAAAGGACCTGGTGTGGCATTATCAATGTACAATGTCGATGAGGTATGGTAGAACATCAATAGGACTTGTTGCTAACTGCTATCTTCTCTTGACTGGTTTTCTAACTTCCTATCTCTATTTAGTCTATTAGGGCTTTCGCTGAGTCCTCCATGGCTATGGCTCTTTCAAAAAAGTGGCCACTCTATCTCAGCACCAAGAATACAATCCTCAAAAAGTATGACGGCAGGTAGGAATCATCATCCTTTGATCTTTAAACATTCTTTTGTCGGCTCAAAGACTACAAAGGACCCTTCTCTATGATGGTTCTGTGATACATACTTACATAGTTTCATCTTGCTCCCTGAAATCTGAAGCATTTTGTCTGACATAACTGACAAGTAACTGTGTGTCTTCACTGTTATGATACCACGAAGGATTATTTGTAGGAAAACCTATACCTTTGTGAATTTTCTTCAGTTTACAGTTACTATTGCATTTTTTATCATTATGATCGTCCCCTTAAATTGTTCTTTAGTAGATTCTTTGCAATCTAAAAAACTACCAAGTCTCAGTGGGGAGGGTTCAGATGGGGGCTAGGGTGTCTTTCCATGATCCCCGTTCGATGGCACTTTCCAAAAATGGTGATGTGCACATGTTGCTGCTGAAAGTTTAATGTCAATCAGCGACGAAGCCAGGAATCGACGAAGCCAGGGCTGGCTTCCTCTTCTTCTTCCTCCAGCCCCTCCTTGCCTTCTTCTTCCTCCTCATGGCGGTAGCCCGGGCTAAGCCCGGGCTCCATGTAAATCATGGCCGTAGGGGGGGCTGGAGCACGGGTAGCCCCCCCGCTGGCTTCGTCGCTGATGTCAATGACACTTTATAAATAGTTCCCCTTTAACCCTTTATCTCAGTACGAAGAATACATATTAGAAAAATATGATGCAAGGTTCTGCTCATTGTAGTATGTTTTTCCCCTCATATTGCTGTTATAGTGTCATATCATGCTTTGTTACTGCCTCAAGGACCCTTCCCTCTATTGTTTGTGGAAATGTATACAGAGTTTGATCTTATTCTCTGAAGTCTGGACTGTAAATGAGCTTACTGTCTGACGTAGCTGACCAGCTATTTCCCTCAGTGTCAAGTTACTACTGAATATTTATCATTACAAATCTATCAGTGAACTTGGTCTTTCTCTGTTTTTATACTAAACCAGTCCAATCTT